AGAGAGAGAAAGGATAGAAAACACTGCGACATACGAGAGAGAGTGATAGTTACGTGAGAGAGAGAGACGTGCTGTCGAGAGAGAGAGAGAGAGAGAGCAGAACGAGAGAGAGAGACGGAGACATCAGCAGGAGAGGAGCTCTGAAGTAGAGAAGCAGAGACGACAATAAAGGCTGGGTAATACACGCGAGAGGGGAGAGTGTGTGTGTGTGTGTGTGTGTGTGTGTGTGTGTGTGTGTGTGTGTGGTGTGTGTGTGTGTGTGTGATAGTTTGTGTGTGTGGTGTAAAAGAGAAATGAAGGATGTGTGTGTGGCTGTGTGGTTGTAAATAGAGTGTGTGTGTGTAATATGAAGATAAAAGATTAGTGTTCCTCCCTCCTCTCAAAAAGTACATTATACACAGACATCTTGGCAACAATAAAATTACGAATGTGATTCTTCCTCCACCAGAATAGTGCTCCCCTTTAATACTCGAATGACTCTAACCAGATTTTGTAGATAATTTCATTGTAATAGGATTTTATAAATAGCAAGATTGTGGCTTGTGAAGATGGAGGTCGCAACGCCCTCCTGTCCTTCCTTTTGGCCTCTTAACCTCCTCTTTCCTCCTCTGGCTTTAAATCATCTCCTCCCTCCGCTCCCTCCTCTCCCGTCCCCCCTCCTCCTTCCTCCTCTCGTTCCCTCCTCCAGCTCCTCTGCCTCCCCATCCCTGCAGAGAGCTGAAGGCCCCGAAGTCGAGGCATCACGAGCACCACGCTCTCCTCCCTCCTCCCTTTTTTTCTTCCATCCGTCTGTCACGGACTCCTTGGTGTTTTGGGCAAGGAGCAGAGAGGAGATGAAGGAGAGCGAGCTGCAAGGAAAGGAAGCAGAGGAAGTGACTTTATAAGATAGGAGTCAAGACTTGCAAATGGATTATCGAGCGACAATAGGATGATAGGAGCAATAGGATTATGAGAAGTGATGTAGCTGGGAAGAGATGAACTGCTAGGAAGATAAGATGTAGGAGAAAAGGCATGTAAGGAGACAATGGTGTATGAGAGACAAAGGATGTATGTGAGAATCATGCACACGAAAGATGTAGTGTAGGATGCGAGAAAGGATGTCAGGAGAAAGCAGAGGAAAGGAGGTGGA